CAATAAGAAAATAAATCAAACCCTAATGTTTTTTTGTGTCTTGTTCATTTCTATCGACCAGAGAGATGGATACATATTTCCTCCCCATAACGGTTGGAAACCTAAGTTGGATTCTTGTATTTTTGACACCTTAATTTTTCTTTCAGTAGTCAAATGAAAGCAACAAACGGGTATACCATGTCACTTGTCCAAACTTACTCTTCAATCATCTGCCAATTCAAGATTTGTGTTTTGTTTTTTAATCAATCCAATATTGCAATCAGGATTCAAAATAACTTCCATTGTTATTTTTATGGCCAAATTGCCATAAACAGAAGGAAGTTAGCACAGATATGTGAATCTGTATCCATCTGCAACCTTCCTTTCTAAAAGTTGGGGAAACGTCTTGCACGCATTTCAGAGTTTGGCTCACCAACACATAAAGCCACTGCAACCACCATTTGGCAAAGTCATGGAAGTCACTGTTTTGGTTTACCCGGAGAGGCAGGAACATCCTGGGAAATTTAAATTAATTACTTTGCCTTTTTTCTTATTATCTTGTTGTCAGTGCCAGGACACTAACAGTACCAACTTCTGTTGCTATTTGCCTATCGTCCACTTACTAAGTCACCTTGCTGGGGAAAGTCTAGGGGGCATGGGTCACACAATCTGCCCCTCAAATTGTGACCCTAGTTCATTACATGACCTTTTGAACTAAAACAGTGGGGAAAAGAAGTTCTCTTCTTCTGAACAGAAAGCACAGAATGGGACAACTTGCCACAACCAATTCACTGTGGCCAACTCGCCGCAGGACAATTCAACAATTCAATTTACTTACTTAAAATAATTCTCAAAATATTTTAATGTTTGCTATTCAACTTTCATTTTGTCCCTCCTTTTGCATTATTTCTTTAATAATTCTATTTCACCATTTCTTTGAAATGTGCATGATTCTTCTCGCATAGCGAGATGTCCCATGGTGAGTTGGCCGTAGTGAATTGGCTGTGGCAAACTGTCCTAGACCGTAGAAAGCATCAGTTTTGTTACTTGTCATTTCTAATGTGAATGATGACAGGCAACACCTCAATCCATTGCAACCTTGGTCCTTGTAGCTCCAAATGTATATGTGCTTGCTGAGTCACTTGAGGTGAGGGAAAGAAACTCTTGCTTATGGCAAAGTCTCTATTGCTTTGTTGTATTGTTCATGTTGCAGATCTAGACTGAAAATAAATCATTGGCTTACAGTCTGGAGATTCTAAGGAAACTTTGGGCATGATTTTTTTTAAATAGGAGGGGCACTTGTAGATGCTAACAACAAAACCTGCAATGAACGTAACTTTTGACAGTAAGACAATTTAGAAGTGCATTTTGAAGTTCCTCAAGCACCGGGGCATGGGGAGAGCGAGCCAAGGGATGGGGTGTTTTCTAAAATCAACCAAGAGCATAAATCTTAGCTAGGCCTGACTTGTAAAAGAGGTTGCAAATGAACCTTGACCAGGTGACCATGTAAAGATTGGCTGCTTTTCCTGCTCTCCCAAAAAGATACAGTGAAGGGAAGGATTATCATTCTAATAATTTTTTCTACCCTCCATCCTGTGCTGGGCCCTTGAGGCATCCCATAAAGTCATTTCGAAGATATAGAGGGAACCTGACACAATACTGAGGATAGTGTAGCATCTGACATGTGGCAGAAACAGTTGTCTTGGAAGCATTGCTACATCAAATCCTCCCTGCCGGTGGAAGATTTACCCACCAAAGGTGATGCTTGCCTAGTCTTCATCTTTTTTTTGCAAGAGTTTTATGTGTGGGGAAGCCATGTGATACCACCATGGAGCGTCTCAAAGTGCTTCCATAATGCTAAACCCCATGCTGCTTTCTTTTAGTTGCGGGGGGGGGGGGGAACGGGACGTCCTTGACCTCTTAAGCATAGAGAACATAAAGGACCAGGTTTGAGATGTCAGGCAGAATCCACAAGTGAGAAAGGGAAATGATTCTTGCCAAGGCACCTTCAGGGAGGACCTGACAGGAAATTCACAGGAAGGGACTAGCCAAGCTCAGAGAAACTACCTGCCTTTTTAGGCTTTTTCCCCCTTTTTTCTCCCCTTGATGTAATCCACATTTCTCCTGCAGCCAATGCTGCTTCCAAAACCCATCATTCTCTCCTTAAAAAAATGACTCCCTTTCCATCATGCTTCTTTTCAACGCTGTTTCAAAAGTTACATCTCTTTAAAAGCTGCACATGGAACTTGTCATCATCACACTTCAAAAGCAAATTAAAAATGCCACCAGGATAAGTTTCCACCATGCATCTGATTCTGAGAACACATGGGCTAGGAAGCCCAAGCCACTGTGGTGTTGTGCGCTGCACACCAAACACACATTTTCAACTCAGCACTTTCTTTATATGTGGAACTGTGCTTGGGACACCATACTCACTTATGTGCAAAGAAACTAGTGGGTTGGAACCAATTCACAACCGCGTTCCCATCACTTACTACTATTCAGCATTTAATAGCTTTTCCGAGAAAAGTGAATTGCCTCCATCTGAAATTCTGCCACTTGTTTCAATTCCAATTAAAAGAAATGTTCGTTCACAAAATCATCAACTGAAGTGCATGTCCATGAGGAATCTGGCTCTGATTTTCAGAGAAATGCAGCTAGATCACCAGTATCCTCCCAGTTTGTGACAATCACACAGCCTGTGGCTTTGATTTTCTATACCATTCTTTTCCACTCTCAATGCTAGCCACTTGATTTATTTTGACTTATATGTCTCTGACAACAATCTCTTGTTCACCATCCCAGGACCAGAGAGCAAGTAACATGGTTTCCTGCTGTTGACAATGAGCTCCCATTCGAGCAGAAGCCAGTTAAGCAATAAATAACCCAAGTGAAAATGAAATATAGGGCCAAATTGCACTTCGTGAAGATTTCCCTAATTCTATGTAGGATTAATTCAAAGCGCTTATGAATAAAACGGCCAACTCATCCACCCCACCATATATTTCTCCTTTTCCTAACTGCTTGTTTGACAGACCAACTTGTAAACATAAATAGAACTGTCCTAGATATCCCACAATTTTCATGGGGAGTAGTCCTAATAAATGTAATTAGGACTGCAGGCTCAGTTTTGAAACATTTCCAAATTGCTTCTCTGTTTAAAAAAGAATGTTTAAAGCAGTGTTATGATTATTTCAGAATAACTGTAGGGACATTTTCAAGGTAATGTTCTCAGTTCCTTGCAAGATTTCTCAAGTAATCTTCTGGGCACTCCAACAAAGGGACTGTGACATTTCCTGGATGTATAAGCAAGTATCTGTCAGATGAGACGTATTAATCACATACCATTCAGAAATGTTGTAATTAAGAGACTGCTGATATTGTTGTAACAACACTTCATTGAAGTAAACCTGAATTCTAACAAAACTAAGAATAGCTTCATCATTTGCAAAATTCTTCCACAGAGACTTAAAAAAAATAAATCTGATAGTAGTTATTTTTATGCAAAACTTCCTTCAATGAAGAATAAACTATTCAAACTCATTATGATTTCTAGTGTTTCTCCATTATTCCTTCAAGCACACGTTAGTGTCTGCTATTAGCATTTTGTGTTGCCTCCCTCTAGCTGAAGGCCTTACTTCCAGATATTAAAGAACTACAACACCCTGCCTGATAGTGACGGATGCCAAGATCTGTACTTCAGCAACATCTGGAGCTCTACAGGTTCCTAACCTATTGCAAACAGATGTGCAACCTGGAATGTAAGTAATTCCAGCACATCTCATGAATCTTTCAAAACACCCATTCAGACATGACATTAATTCTAAATGTAAGATGGTAGCTCTCATGTAATTTTTAGAAATAAGGAGAGCCATTTCCCCACACCAATATGGCAGCATTTAGGTAAGGAAGTGCATGGGTATAACCAAAGCAGGGTTCCTTTACATGCAAATACTCGTTGGCTCCCTGCACGCAGAGAGCCCAATTGATAGCAAGAGGCTCTACTTATGTGGTTCTTGGGGAAAAACATTCTCCAAATAACACAGAGAGTTACTTCAGTTTGAGGACTTCCCTCCTTGCTCCAAGTAACACAGTATGGGAAGACTTTGGTGTAAGGCTTCATATTAATCCAGCATATTTACGTAAATAGTTCAGATAGTATACCGAAACAGAAGGCTTGAACCGGTGCTGGCTCTTTTCCAATACTCCCCTTCTTCATCTTACCAGCCTTGCTATATTGAATCAGAAGTTTTAAAATGACACTCCTTGTATGTATCTGAATGAGAATCTCCCCAGAGGAGTTAGCAAATTCTGTGTATTGCAACCCCTCCTCAAAAAATAAATGAATATGCATGGCAGTCTCCATGTATAGAACTAATGATTTCATTCAGGTTCTGGCTGGGCAAGAAATAAGTATATTGCTTAATTTTAGCAATAGCACTTATATACTGCTTCACAGTGCTTTACATCCCTCTCTAAGCTGTGTACAGAGTCAGCATATCGCCCCCAACAATCTGGGGCCTCATTTTACCAACTTCGAAAGGATGGATAGGATTCAACCTTCAGCCAGTCAGGATCAAAATCCTGGCAGTGGGGCAGAGTTTGCCTGCAATATTGCATTCTAACCACTGCAGCACACCAGGGCTCTCTCTCTCTCTCTCTCTCTCTCTCTCTCTAACAATTGCTTTTGAATCTACATATCTTGAGCTGTTTTCAAACATGGTGATATTGCAGCTGCTCACTGGTGTGCCGCAGGCAAAACAAGAAGAAATACTGAGTGTGAGTTTTGACAACACTGGTGAACATGAGTCAAAACTCTCATCTTGAATGAAGTAAGGGTGAGACCCTGGAAAAGAAAGGAGCATGGTCCAATCTCCCATTCCCTGAACTGAATCAAGTTTCTTTCCAGGACTTCACACATATTCACAATCTGAATGGAAAAGGCTCCATGTGATACACATATATAGAACTCACCAATGGTGCAAATAAAAAATAAAAAATCAAAGGACCTCTTACTTTACCTGGCCTGGCTGTATTTTGCATACAGTTTTGGGAAACCATGGCCGGGTGGACCGATGTGGATGCTCTGTGGCTGAGGTCCACGACAGGTGGTGAGGCTGAGGTAGGTTGCTGAAGTGCTGGCTGATGAGGGCTGTGATTGTGCTGGACTGGACTGGGTGGGATGCCATTCTCTGTGAGGAATTCTTCCAGGTCCATGTATTCCAACTGGAAAGTGTCACCATCATAGGGAAGTGTCTTGTCCCATAATGTAGGCCCCAGGAAAGCAGACTGTGGGACAGTGGCACTGGTACTGTCGTCATCCAGTTTTTTGTCTTTGTCTTTTTCTTTATAAAATGCTAGAAAGGGAAGGGGAAGGCAAGGAAAGGTGAGGAACGTTTTAGCTAGTTTTTTGCTAGGAAGAAAATAAAGAGAACTCTTTTGTACTTATTTTGTGTTTGGGGTTCTCTGTTTGGAACACAATTAAGGTCCCTGGATATATTTTTCAGCTCATTAAGGCCATGTATGTTTTTCATCTCTGCTTTTAACTTGCAACTCATCTGCATTCTTGGCTTCAAGCAAATTGCAAACTTCAAACACCACCACTCCAAGATTTCATCAGAATGGAGAACTGGAAAAATTGCTCAAATGGTTATAGTGGAATTTTATTTGCCTGATAAAATGCTACAGAATAGAAATTACTCATAATGGAAGGGTTTATATATCTGTGCTTAGCACGTGGTTTATTAAACATGGTTTCATTTAAGCCACCACTAACTGGTATTGCACAATGCAGTCAGCCAGAGTTTAGTCACTACAGTGGCTGTATTTGTATACATTAAACAGAATCCAAATAATAAAAGCAAGATTATGGTTTCTGCAATGTAACCAGTTACTACTTCAAATAGGTTTAAGAAGAACAGAATACACATTGTGTTTGTAATGCATTGCTAACTTACTTCAAATCAATTTTGAAGAGCAACATATCATGTTTTAAATATAAATAAACAACCACAACTGATTTATTTAAATGGTTTTTAAAAACCCAATTACCTAGGTGAACATTCATGCTAGTTAGGAATTCTGGAAATGCTATCTTAGTAAAATAGCCTAATTTAGTCCAATCTTCATCATTTGCTGCTTAGAAACTGAACACAAATTCATAATGAGAAGCTGTAAAACAAGCCAAACATTACCCAGGGGAGTCACAACTGCATTTCACAAGATTGGTTAAAAATAAACTGGCGGTGGCAACAGAGAGGCTGGAACTATTAAACCCCTTTTTAGCTTCTTCCTACAACCATTTCCAGATTTGTATCTCCCCTTTCTTCTACTCCTATGCCTGGGATTGTTTTGAAGTGCACACTTGTTTTGAAGCCAAGAACCAGAACTTTTTGTACACTGTGTAGGAAATTGCAAAATTAATTGTAACCCCGCTCCCTCTTGGTGGATTTTTCTTGCAGCAAAGTAGCAATAAAATGGTAATTATGGATCTTTGTGCAACTTGTAGTTTATTCCTTCATATCTATTTGATTTAGATTTATTATGCTGACAAATAAGCTATTGGCAGCCACTTCCTAAATTTGTAAGTAACCCTTAATGCATTTCTCAGCAACTGGTTATCCTCTTCAAATATATTTTATTTGAAAATTTACCATTCCTAAATCTGATTTTTCAGCACTGGCAATATTTCAAGTTGCTATGATCTGAAAGAACTACCCCCAAAAACTTTCTTTTCAGAGTGACACATTACACCAACATAATTAATCTTGATATCCTATTCTTGTGTTTGGGGTTTTTTAATGGAAAAATGTATGCATTGGTTCATAGTCAACAGGAATGAGATGAGTCTAAACTACACTGCACAAGTATTAAAGTATAGGCAATAGAGAATATTACCTAGAAAATCATAGCAAACTGTTGAATGCTGTACAATGCTGAGCTATTACTGACGTTTAACTGCATTGGAATTTAATGGTTAGGGAAACTGAACTTTATTAAAAATAATTCAAGGTTTAGATTTTAATCTTCTAAAACCTTCAATCAGAGATTGAATTAGGTTTTACTAGTACCTTTAGGGGGAAAATACATGTTGCAAGTTTTGATTTCAAGAATGAGTAAAATTTATGATTCAGGTATGAAACAAGTCACTCCAGATTTTTTTTTAAAATGTAGTATAGGCTTTAAGTTGTCTTTGTGTATTGGGGGGAGTTGCTTGTACACATTTATGGATAAATGTGTGCCCCATGTAATACAGATAAAAGCAGTATGGGGAGTGCCTACAGTTCAAGGTACACATTTTTTTTGCAAGATCACCTCCACAGAAATAAAATGCTCTGACTTTTAAATCAAACAAGGGCAAGAGTTGCTAGATTCTGTTAAAACCATACTGCAATCCCAATTTATCTGAGAGAAACCCCACTAAAAAGGGAGATTTACTTCTTCACAGAAGTGCACCATACAAACACTCTGACCCGAATCCCTTCTTTTATGACTTCTTGACAAATTGTGGTATCGGAAGGCACCTTACCCAAAAGAGCAGCTCCAATTTAAACGGAACCTGCCAACCAAAAAATAAACTATCCAGTACGGTCACTTTTTAACGCTACACTATAAACAAACCGCACGCGCTAATTTCTGGAGCAAAGAGTAGTAAGCTATGCAGCCGTTTTTTTAGGCATACTTACTTGAGGGTAAGCCCAGTGTATGTTATCTCCGACTAACATACAGAGAGGCAAAAAGAGGCAGGATTGATTAGAAAGAATCGTCGTTGCCTCTTCGGGTAATCCTAGGCGTATTTACAAGGAAATCAATCCCGCTTGATTCAGCAGAACCGATTCCCAAGGATCTCCAGACCGCAACTGCAGCCGGCAACGCGAAACCCAAAAAAAAATGCGCGCTTCAGATTGCGCGGAGTTGTCCGCCTCCCGCCTCGGTACGCAAAGAGCCCTATTCCCAAAAGCAACGCTAGGTTAGACGCGCGCACGGCTCGGTCGCCGCTTTCTGTGAAACTTGCGCACGGCTTACATACAACAATCCGCAGGACAATAAAGCGGGGCGGAGAAGTGGGGGTGGGTGGGGGGAACTATAGGGAAACCCACCGCCACACTCCTCCTTCCTCTGTTTTACACACACACACAGACACACACACACACACACTCCATTTCTCTTTCTCACCGTCTTCGTGATGCAGCGGCAGCTTGAGCGGGTTTTCCAGCAGGGATTTCAGCACCCCGTAAGTTGGAGGTAGGAAAGCTGGGTTCAAAGGAAGAGGTCGAGCCATCCTTCTTTCGCCCTTCCTTCGGTCCGCCAATTTAATTAAACTAGCCCAAAACAAAAAAAAGTAGAAGAAGAAATAGAGAGGATGGAAAGAAAAGAAGAAGGGGGGGGGGGGGGGGGGGAAATCCCAAATCGATCTTCTGTTCGGAAAAGAGCGCTCTCGTCCTGCGGGTGTGTCTGTCTGTGTGTGTGTTGTGTGTGTGTGTGTGTGTGTGAAGGGAGAGTTGGCTTCAGACGACCTCGCTCCAGGCGAATCGGGGCGTCCCAGGATCACGTTTTTGCATCAATAATAGCAAACTAGACCGAGGAGTTTGTTTTTTTTTGTTGTTGTTTTTTTTGAGAGAGAGAGATAGAGAGAAGAAAGGGAAGGGGAAAAAAAAAAAAAGAGGCCACCCTACCGGCCAGATAAGCCAAGAGGCGCTTTCTACCTCTCTCGCTCCTCCCAGTCCTAAGAGCTGGTTGGGGCCACCTGCGCCGCTCTCAGAACATTTGCACACCCATGTGCGGACACGAATCAAAATGACGTCAGAGTTAGCGCAGCTCCCCCCGGTAGGCGGGCAAGGGAGGAGCTCGCGAGGCTCTGAGCCCTCAAAGTTAATCTTTGGGTTGCAGCCGCCGCCGCGGCTGCTTTTCATTCCATTGCTTTTGCTCGCTGTTGTTGGGAGGCAGAGCTAAAAGCGGGTTTCTGCTGAGGAGGAGGAGGAGGAGGACGTTGCCTTCAGGGAAGGCTTTCGCGTTTCGCTGTGTTGGGGAAATTTTTTTTTAAACCTATGAACAAAAATAAAGTGAAAATAAAGTCTGTGATAACTTTAAAACCAACGTTTTTTTTTTTTTTAATTTTAAATTCATTTAAAGTGTTTTGCTACCTACCGCTCGGATTTCAGGGTGGAACCCCGTTTAGGAAAACACAACAAAATTGAAAGGCTGCAGCCAAAACCTTAGAAAGCCAAATTTGATTCAATCACATACTCCTTTCTGTTTAAATGCCAGGATAAATGTTTAAAAAAATGGATTTGCTGAATTTACCACCCAAAAGGATAGTAGAGCCAGCCAATTCTCTAGGGAGGACACTCTGTTCTGCTCCTAATACAGAGGCTGCCATCAGCGGAAATGTGGTTCATTTGCCTATTTCTCTAGGTTCATACAAGGTCCCGCTCTGATGCAGATCTTGGCTGTTTTAGAAGAGCCAAACAAGGCCACTGGCCTGGTTAATACAGTTGAGCAAGGCTTCAGTTTGGATCTCTAAAAGTGCTGTGGAAAGCAGGGATTTGCATCTGCCTCCAACATCTACTTAGTGGATTGGAGACCACTAGGAGATCCGAAGACTTTGGGGTAGGTTGAGGAAAAAAAGATCCTGGAAGTAGGCAACTGCAAACTATTTACATATCCTGCCAAAGAAACTATACAGATGTATCTGCGTGGTCACCAAGGGTTGAGCTCAACTCAGAGGCTTGATTTTATCTTGTACAAACCCAGCCATTGTGGTTAATTGCTGTTTCGTGAGGAATGCAACCCCAGAGTTAATTGAGTAAGCCATGATTCTATTAACCATAGGTTAATGTCCTCAGCCAGTGAAAACCCTTAAAGATTGCCAGAAGACATTACTTCAGCTATTTCCTTCTGAAATATTTTGGGCCTAAAAGGACAAAACCAGCTCTCTGAATTGGCGTTTTAAGACTTTTCTAAATTGCTGCCACATGTGTGAGGCAGCTAGCGATGCCATGATGGTTGTCATTATTAACTGAGGCTTCTAAAACCTCAAGAAAGGACTAGGTTACTTTGCAGCAAGAAGCAACATCTGTTCTTCATTGTGTGAAACTTATTTTCTTTTTTACATAGGTGTTGTTGCAGCAAGCTAACCTTGGAGGCAACTTTAAAAAAGAAGAGAAGTGAAGCAATGGTGCTTCCTTTGGGGCTGAATGTTTCTGGAGGTAGCACACAGTGCCTGGAAATTTCCCCGACTCTTGAGAAAGACTTGTCAGCCATTAATTGTTATACCTGCTCACATGGTATTTGTGCTTCAGGACTGGTGTCAAATACTTGCTTAAATAAACTTCAGAGCAAGAGAAGGGCTTGGTATTTTCTTTTGTTGAGAGCAACTTGCTGAATCTCTCTCCTGCCTAATCTTCCATCATAATCAAGTTCCACCAGACTACCCTGCCAAAACTCTAACCTCTCCATTCTCTGGTTTGGTATTTGCTTAACTTACGAAAGCTGAGCAGGGCAGAATTCAAGAAGAAAACATATGAGTTGAACCATTCAGTAGCACTCCATCCAATGAGAAAGTACCCCAAAAGCTAGTGAACACTCATCTTTTCTCATACCCCATTTGCAATGTGGCAGGTTTTGTGAGATCCTACTATCAGGTTCACTTTGAAGCGTCCCAAAACCACCTTCGTTCTATTCAAATTCCATTGCAACCTGCAATGTTCTATCCTGGCTCCATCTCTAAAGAAAACCTCATGTGTCCAATTGTCAACTATGCTTACAAAATATTTTCTAACCTTCCAAATGGGCTGGGACTACATTTCCCCAAATCCATGGCCTTTGCTCAAGCTTTTCAGGCTTCAAGAAACAAAAATCCTGAATATGGACTGGAACTCCAGTAAAAGTACTGTGGATTATGGAACATGGTTTTATTTTATGGTAGGGAGCCACTCTGGATGAAATCAATAATCCAACTGGTCTAACCGATCCTTTGAACTGGACATCGATTCACAATAGCTGCTTACCTTGCTCTCATGGCTCAGATTTATATTTTATATATGCTTTGGGTTCACTGTGGATTATGGAATAAACCACAATAACGATTCCCCATTATTTCAGACCCAGCCTGAAATATGGGTCTGGAGCGTGTGGGGCTGCAGCGATGACATATGTCAAGACATCACCTCCTAAATCACATTTATGATGCATTGTATGTAATTTGCATCATGATGTGACTAATGCATATTACATATTTTGCATCACTCCTTGCAGTGATGTTACAATGTTTCATGGTTTCCACTGGGAGTGGTTAATGAGAACAATCTGTTGCTTGGAATCCAAATTAAAATTCTTAGGAAGCACCTGTCTAGCCTTTGCTTTACAGGGCATTTCAAAATTGGCAACATGAAGGTGTGTGGACTTCAACTCCCAGAATTCCCCAGACAGCATCCACAGGAGGAGGCAAAGGGAAGGCAATGACAAGACATGCATTGTAAGGTGATGATGCAAACACAACTGCTACATTATTCGGATGCAAGTACGAATTGTAGGTTTTTGTCTCATGAAAGCATATTTTGTCATCTGTGTCTCATGAGTTTACACTGGGATACCTATGATCAGTTCCATAATATTCTAAATCACATTGAAACAGTCCTCGTGATGGATTACCATAGACAGCCCAAGAACTGAGATAAAGGGAATATAATAAAATGAGAGCTGATCCCAAGACCGTGCAAACATTACCTGAATACAGCAAGTAGACCATGTAGTACTCTCCAATTGGCTCCTTCATTCTGATCATAGCTATGGAGCACTCTGACAGCCCCTTGTGCGCTCACTGAATGCAATGGCCCTACCCAGGGTTCCGGAGACACTGTACACACTTCTAGGTTTATACCTCCACAGCTTAGGGTTGACCCTAGTGTGGTTTATTTGCATTTGCTTTAAGGTACCCATCATCCTCAGGTATGAAGGTTACTCATGTTAGAACCCCAGCCCTCCTCCGAGTTGAGTATAATATGTAATCCTAGCCCAGTGATGGCAAACCTACAGTATTATATGCATGCTAAAGATGACATGCCAGCCTCCACGATATCCAACAACTATTCTCAAAAGCATGCCCCATTCTTGTGTGATTTTTTTTTTTTTTTGGCGGGGAGGGGGGGCACTGCAGCCTCTAGGCCCACTCAAAATTTGTTTTACCTGTAATTCATGTTTTAATGATTTGATGCTTCCTTATATAATACGGTACATAGGACAACACGATTGGGCTATATTCTTTATATATTGACTTCTTGTTTTTTAAAAAGAAAACAACAAGAAGTCAATATGTAAAGAATTGTTTTGCTGATGTTTGGGACAGCAGAATTGAGTCAGGCAATTCTGAATACAGCAAGTAGACTATGTAGTCCTCTCCCAATTTTTTGACACACTAAGCCCAAAAGGTTTGCCATTGCTGTCCTAGCCAATGGCAAGAGTGGCAAAAATTGTTCTAGGACAGGCCACCTGAGGTCCCAGCCACTGCATCGTTTTTCTTGGTGCTTCCGTTTCACGGACAGCAACATAATGCTGACGGATAATAGGAGTTTTCAAGAGTGCTGGAGGAAGATTTGCATGGTTGCTACGTTAGCTCTGTAGCTATAACAGAGCTCTGTAGCAGTATCACATTTGCATTATCCTAGTGTCAAATCTGGCTTTACCTATGCAGCGGGATCCTGGATTCAACCTGCTCATCTCTAAAGTGACGGACAATTTTTATCCTTTCCCTTCTTTTACTGTAGCCTGACACAGCAGCTCATCTATCTTTATGTGTGTGCTTCTAAGATTTTTTAAAATCTTGTGGGAAAAAGAACATTACCGTTTTTTTTTAATGGATGAATCCATTAACATTTGCTCTACCTTTTGTCCTTCATAGGTATGAAATCAATAGCACTTTGTCTCTCTTTAAGAAAATGAGTAAATTAGATTTCGCTAAATGTTTGAATTCTTGGAAAATCACACATTTAGGGTTTCTTCCCCCCCCCCTCAAAAAAAACCCCTAAGCTATGAAGAGAGGAAAATAATCTACCCCGTAGAAAACTACTTACTTAATAGACTGTGTGCAAAATAATATCTCAGAAGCTATTGATGAACCTTGAGCAAAAGTACTTAATTGGAAAAGTTGTGCATAACAAAGGGCACAGTGAGTTCCAAACCACCTGCTCAAGAAATAATCATGAGAATAAATATTTTTAAGTGAGGAGGAAAAAACAACTACTTGTACACAATCCATAGCATATAAAAAAAAACCCAATCCAAATGGCGAGTTATTGGACACCAGGTTACATAAACCCAGGGAGATCATTGACAGGAGTAAGGGTAATATCTGGCATAGGTAGAGTGGGGATCAGGTGATGCATAATGCATTTCTGTTTGATATGTGCTTAAATATAGGAAGAAATCTTAAGGAGAATTAAGGCTAAGAGCGAAAGAAAATAAACAGAAACATAATCTTTGGGATGAATAGAGAATCTGAGAAATAGTGATAAACAATATTAATCTACAATTAGGATTAGAAAAAGGAAACCTTGAGAAGGAAGGAAGGGCAGGACAACTGTACTTTCTTCAGTACGCTTTCCGGCACAAAGCAAAGCACATAGCGGAATATTAATATCTGCAATATGATATT